GACTATCATGATAGTTTATCACAGTTTATCATGATTGGGGACAATCAGAGGAGTTTCTTGGGGACTATCGCGATAGCTCGTGGCAGTTTATTGCGATTGGGGACTATAGCAAGAGTTTATTGGGGTTTATTGGGGACTATCATGACAGTTTATCGTGATTGGGAACCATTAGAAGAGTTTACTGGGGACTACCGCGATAGCTCGTCACAGTTTATCGCGATTGGGGACTATAGCAAGAGTGTCTTGGAGTTTAGCAGGGTTTATTGACTATCAGAAGAGTTTATTGGGGACTATCGCGATAGCTCGTCACAGATTATCGCGATAGCGCGTCACAGTTTATCGCGATTGGGGACTATAGCAAGAGTATATTGGAGTTTAGCAGGGTTTATTGGGGACTATCGTGATAGTTTATCATGAGTGGGGACTATCAGAAGAGTTTATTGGGGACTATCGCGATAGCTCGTCACAGTTTATCGCGATTGGGGACTATAGCAAGAGTATCTTGGAGTTTAGCAGGGTTTATTGACTATCAGAAGAGTTTATTGGGGACTATCGTGATAGCTCGTCACAGCTTATCGCGATAGCGCGTCACAGTTTATCGCGATTGGGGACTATAGCAAGAGTATATTGGAGTTTAGCAGGGTTTATTGGGGACTATCGTGATTGGGGACTATAGCAAGAGTATCTTGGAGTTTAGCAGGGTTTATTGACTATCAGAAGAGTTTATTGGGGACTATCGCGATAGCTCGTCACAGCCTATCGCGATAGCGCGTCACAGTTTATCGCGATTGGGGACTATAGCAAGAGTATCTTGGAGTTTAGCAGGGTTTATTGACTATCAGAAGAGTTTATTGGGGACTATCGCGATAGCTTGTCACAGTTTATCGCGATAGCTCGTCACAGTTTATTGCAATTGGGGACTATAGCAAGACTATCTTGGAGTTTAGCAGGGTTTATTGACTATCAGAAGAGTTTATTGGGGACTATCGCGATAGCTCGTCACAGCCTATCGCGATAGCGCGTCACAGTTTATCGCGATTGGGGACTATAGCAAGACTATCTTGGAGTTTAGCAGGGTTTATTGACTATCAGAAGAGTTTATTGGGGACTATCGCGATAGCTCGTCACAGTTTATCGCGATAGCTCGTCACAGTTTATTGCGAATGGGGACTATAGCAAGGGTATCTTGGAGTTTAGCAGGGTTTATTGACGATCAGAAGAGTTTATTGGGGACTATCGCGATAGCTCGTCACAGTTTATCGCGATTGGGGACTATAGCAAGAGTATATTGGAGTTAGGAGGGTTTATTGACTATCAGAAGAGTTTATTGGGGACTATCGCGATAGCTCGTCACAGCTTATCGCGATAGCGCGTCACAGTTTATTGCGATTGGGGACTATAGCAAGACTATCTTGGAGTTTAGCAGGGTTTATTGACGATCAGAAGAGTTTATAGGGGACTATCGCGATAGCTTTCGTCACAGGTTATCGCGATAGCGCGTCACAGTTTATCGCGATTGGGGATTATAGCAAGAGTATGTTGGAGTTTAGCAGGGTTTATTGGGGACTATCGTGATAATTTATCACAGTTTATCCTGAGTGGGGACTATCAGAAGAGTTTATTGGGGACTATCGCGATAGCTCGTCACAGTTTATCGCGATTGGGGACTATAGCAAGAGTATCTTGGAGTTTAGCAGGGTTTATTGACGATCAGAAGAGTTTATAGGGGACTATCGCGATAGCTCATCACAGGTTATCGCGATAGCGCGTCACAGTTTATCGCGATTGGGGATTATAGCAAGAGTATGTTGGAGTTTAGCAGGGTTTATTGGGGACTATCGTGATAATTTATCACAGTTTATCCTGAGTGGGGACTATCAGAAGAGTTTATTGGGGACTATCGCGATAGCTCGTCACAGTCTATCGCGATAGCTCGTCACAGTTTATCGCGATAGCTCGTCACAGTTTATTGCGATTGGGCACGATAGCAAGACTGTCTTGGAGTTTAGCAGGGTTTATTGACTATAAGAAGAGTTTATTGGGGACTATCGCGATAGTTCGTCACAGTTTATCGCGATAGCGCCTCACAGTTTATTGCGATTGGGGACTGTAGCAAGACTATCTTGGAGTTTAGCAGGGTTTATTGACTATCAGAAGAGTGTATTGGGGACTATCGCGATAGCTCGTCACAGTTTATCGCGATAGCGCGTCACAGTTTATTGCGATTGGGGACTATAGCAAGACTATCTTGGAGTTTAGCAGGGTTTATTGACTATAAGAAGAGTTTATTGGGGACTATTGCGATAGTTCGTCACAGTTTATCGCGATAGCTCGTCACAGTTTGTTGCGAATGGGGACTATAGCAAGAGTATCTTGGAGTTTAGCAGGGTTTATTGACGATCAGAAGAGTTTATTGGAGACTATCGCGATAGCTCGTCACAGCTCATCGCGATAGCGCGTCAAAGTTTATCGCGATTGGCGACTATAGCAAGAGTATATTGGAGTTTAGCAGGGCTTATTGGCTATCGAAGAGTTATTGGGGACTGGGATGGCTTCGTCACAGTTTATTGCGATTGGGGACTATAGCAAGACTATCTTGGAGTTTAGCAGGGTTTATTGACTATCAGAAGAGTTTATTGGGGACTATCAATCATCGTCACAGCGTATCGCGATAGCGCGTATTCACAGTTTACATAGTACGTAGTCTATGGCAAGAGTATCTTGGAGTTTAGCAGGGTTTATTGACTATCAGAAGAGTTTATTGGGGACTCGCGATAGCTCGTCACAGCTTATCGCGATAGCGCGGATGACAGTTTATTGCGATTGGGGACTATAGCAAGAGTATCTTGGATTTTAGCAGGTTTATTGACTATCAGAAGAGTTTATTGGGGACTATCGCGATAGCTCGTCACAGCTTATCGCGATAGCTCGTCACAGTTTATTGCGATTGGGGACCATAGCAAGAGTATCTTGGAGTTTAGCAGGGTTTATTGACTATCAGAAGAGTTTATTGGGGACTATCGCGATAGCTCGTCACAGCTTATCGCGATAGCGCGTCAAAGTTTATCGCGATTGGCGACTATAGCAAGAGTATATTGGAGTTTAGCAGGGCTTATTGGCTATCAGAAGAGTTTATTGGGGACTATCGCGATAGCTCGTCACAGTTTATTGCGATTGGGGACTATAGCAAGACTATCTTGGAGTTTAGCAGGGTTTATTGACTATCAGAAGAGTTTATTGGGGACTATCGCGATAGCTCGTCACAGCGTATCGCGATAGCGCGTCACAGTTTATTGCGATTGGGGACTATAGCAAGAGTATCTTGGAGTTTAGCAGGGTTTATTGACTATCAGAAGAGTTTATTGGGGACTATCGCGATAGCTCGTCACAGCTTATCGCGATAGCGCGTCACAGTTTATTGCGATTGGGGACTATAGCAAGAGTATCTTGGAGTTTAGCAGGGTTTATTGACTATCAGAAGAGTTTATTGGGGACTATCGCGATAGCTCGTCACAGCTTATCGCGATAGCGCGTTGGCCACAGTTTATTGCGATTGGGGACTATAGCAGAGAGTATCTTGGAGTTTAGCAGGGTTTATTGACTATAGGAAGAACTTTATTGGGGACTATCAAATCCTTGCGTCACAGCTTATCGCGATAAGCGCGGTCACAGTTTATTGCGATTGGGGACTATACAGAGTATATGAGATTAGCAGGGTTTATTGACTATCAGAAGAGTTTATTGGGGAGCTATCGCGATAGCTCGTCACAGCTTATCGCGATAAGGCAAGGATAAACTTTATCGCGATTGGCGACTATAGCAAGAGTATATTGGAGTTTAGCAGGGCTTATTGGCTATCAGAAGAGTTTATTGGGGACTATCGCGATAGCGCGTCAAAGTTTATCGCGATTGGGGACTATAGCAAGAGTATCTTGGAGTTTAGCAGGGTTTATTGACTATCAGAAGAGTTTATTGGAGACTATCGCGATAGCTCGTCACAGCTCATCGCGATAGCGCGTCAAAGTTTATCGCGATTGGGGACTATAGCAAGAGTATATTGGAGTTTAGCAGGGCTTATTGACTATCAGAAGAGTTTATTGGGGACTATCGCGATAGTTCGTCACAGTTTATCGCGATAGCTCGTCACAGTTTATTGCGATTGGGGACTATCCAAGAGTATCTTGGAGTTTAGCAGGGTTTATTGACTATGCAAGAGTATGTTGGAGGGACTATCGCGATAGCTTCGTCACAGCTTATCGCGATAGCGCGTCACAGTTTATTGCGATTGGGGACTATGGCAGAATTATCAAGAAGTTAGCAGGGTTTATTGACTATCAGAAGAGTTTATTGGGGACTATCGCGATAGCTCGTCAGCAGCTTATCGCGATAGCGCGTCACAGTTTATTGCGATTGGGGACTATAGCAAGAGTATCTTGGAGTTTAGCAGGGTTTATTGACTATCAGAAAGACGTTTATTGGGGACTATCGCGATAGCTCGTCACAGCTTATCGCGATAGCGCGTCACAGTTTATTGCGATTGGGGACTATAGCAAGAGTATCTTGGAGTTTAGCAGGGTTTATTGACTATCAGAAGAGTTTATTGGGGACTATCGCGATAGCTCGTCACAGCTCATCGCGAAAGCGCGTCACAGTTTATCGCGATTGGGGACTATAGCAAGCAATGAGATTTTGGGGGCTTAGTTTGAAACTTTTAGGGTGCGTTTTGAAGAATTTCGACTTTCTGATTTGTTCAGTGGAAATGGTGGAGGGAGAGCATGTTTTTAGGGCAGGAAAACTGGTGATTTTGGGGTTTTGTATGAAATTAAAGGGGTTTGGGGCATGGAAATGGGGTGAATTCATGGTTTACGTGCAACCAGCGGGGCTTTGTTGAAACAGGGGGTGGTTCTGGTGGGAAAACCCTCATTTTTGGTGAGGAAAAGCGGGTTTTAAGCAGCGATTTCTCCCATCAGGAACTCGAAGAAGGCGGCGAAAGCGGCGCTGCCACCGCCGCCGTCGGCGCTCTACGACTCGGAGGAGGAGGAGGAGAGCAAGCCCATGACGTACGACGAGAAGCGCCAGCTCAGCCTGGACATCAACAAGCTGCCCGGGGAGAAGCTGGGCCGGGTGGTGCACATCATCCAATCCCGGGAGCCCTCCCTGCGGGATTCCAACCCGGAGGAGATCGAGATCGACTTCGAGACCCTCAAGCCCTCGACGCTGCGGGAGCTGGAGCGCTACGTCCTGTCCTGCCTGCGGAAGAAGCCGCGCAAGCCCTACAGCGAGAGTGAGACCACGGCCCCGGGGCGGCCTTGGGTTGAGCATGGGGTTGAGGGGGTTTGTTGGTTGGGTGTAGGACGTTGGGTTGAGGAATTGGGTGTAGGCCATTGGGGTTGAGGAGTTGGGAGTTGGATAGGTTGGGTGGAGGCCATTGGGTTGAGGGGTTGAGTGTAGGCCATTGGGTTGAGGAGTTGGGTGTTGGATAGGTTGAGTGTAGGCCATTGGGTTGAGGAGTTGGGTGTTGGATAGGTTGAGTGTAGGCCATTGGGTTGAGGAGTTGGGTGTTGGATAGGTTGAGTGTAGGCCATTGGGTTGAGGAGCTGGGTGTTGGGTTGATTTGGTGTAGGCCATTGGGTTGAAGAGTTGGGTTTTGGATAGGTTGGGTGTAGGCCATTGGGTTGAGGAGTTGGGAGTTGGGTCGATTGGGTGTAGGCCATTGGGTTGAGGGTTTGGGTGTTGGATAGGTTGGGTGTAGGCCATAGGGTTGAAGAGTTGGATAGGTTGGGTGTAGGCCATTGGGTTGAGGGGGTGGGTGTTGGATAGGTTGGGTGTAGGCCATTGGGTTGAAGAGTTGGGTTGATTGGGTGTAGGTCATTGGGTTGAAGAGTTGGATAGGTTGGGTGTAGGCCATTGAGGGGTTGGGTTGGTTGGGTGCAGGCCATTGGGCCATTGAGTTGAGGGCTTTGGGTGTTGGTTTGATTGGGTGTAGGCCATTGGGCTGTTGGGTTGAGGGGTTGGGTGTTGGGTAGGTTGGGTGCTGGGTTGGTTGGCTGCAGGCCATTGGGCTGCTGGGTGTTTTGGGCGGTGGGGGTTTCCCATTGGGTGGTTGATGGTTGGATTGGTTGCTTGGCCATTGGTCGAGTGCTGGCTGAGGGTTGTCCAGTGGTTGAGCGGTTGGGTTGGGTGTTTCGAGGGCTGTGCTGAGTTTTGGGGTGGTTTTGAGCTATTTTAGGGTCCCTTTTGACCACCCCCCTTTGTGTCCCCTCCCCAGCCTTGAAGAAGCCGGTGGGGAAGACGAAAGAGGAGCTGGCACTGGAGAAGAAGCGGGAGCTGGAGAAGCGGCTGCAGGACGTCAGTGGGCAGCTCAACTCGGCCAAGAAACCCCCCAAGAAGGGTAAGCGCCTGTCACGATAGGTCACAGGCGGGTTATCGCAGCCTGTCGTGATAGCGCAGAGTAGGTCATCGCCCACTATGGGAGTTTATCGGGGTCTATTCTGAGTTTAGCACAGTTTATTGTGGTTATCGTGACAAGTTTGTCACGACAGGCAATTGGGAAGGACCACGATAGTTTATGGGGGTTTATGTGGGACTATTGCAACAGTTTATTGCTGTTCAGTGGGATCTGTCATGACAGTTGATCAGGGACTATCACAACTGTATATTGGGGTGTGTCATAGTTTATCATGATAGTCTGTTGGGGTTTATCACAGCTTATTGAGGACTATAGTGACAGTTTATCACAATAGTTGACAGGAAACTTACCACAGTGGTATTGGGGTATGTCACAGTTTATTGAGGACTGTCGTGCCAGTTTACCATGATAGTTGACAGGAGACTATCACAATAGTATTGGGGTTTATCTCAGCTTATCAGGGAGTATTGTGACAGTTAATCACGACTGTGGATTAGAAACTATCAGGATGGGGTTTTTTGGGTTAACTGCAGCTTATCGGTTATTATGGCAACGTCACTGCTCAGTGGGACTATTGCAAGAATTTGTTGGAGTTTACTGGGGAACTGTCACGATAGTTCATCACCTTTGGGGTCTGAAACACGAGTTTATTGTAGATTATTGGGGACTATCGTGACAGTTTATTGTGATTAGGGATTATCATGAGTTTATTGGGGTTTATTGGGGACTATCGTGACAGCTCATCACAATTGGGGAATGTCACAGGAGTTTATTGGGCTTTTTCACAGATTATTGGCGACTATCGTGATAGTTTATATTGCGATTGGGGACTATTGTGACAGTTTATGGCTGTTTACCGGGGCTTTTGAAGCATTTCTCGGTGTCTATCGTGCCATATCACGACAGAGCCCTCACCCCTCTGTTTCTCCCCCCCCATAGCCAGCGACAAGGCCGAGTCCGCCCAGCACGTGGCCGTGTCCCGCCTGAGCGCCTCCAGCTCCAGCTCGGACTCGAGCAGCTCCTCCTCCTCCTCTTCCTCCTCGGACACCAGCGACTCCGACTCGGGGTGACTGGGGGTGATGACGTCATCGATGACGTCAGCGGGATACAACCCCTCCCTTCCCATTCCCTTCCTTGTCTCCTCCTCTCTCCCACTCCCCCCCCCCACCCTCTTCCCACCCCCTCAGCGATGGGATTGGACAGAAATGGATCTGTGGGACCGGACTGAGCCCCTCCCCCCACACACACAGCCCCTCCCCCAAACAAAAGGGGGCGGGGTTAAAGGGGAGTCCCCACACGGAGCCCCTCCCCCAACCAAAGGAGGCGGGGTTAAGGGGGAGCCCCTCCCCCAACGCATGGACTTCAAGGGGGGAGGTGACGTTTGAGAGGGGGAGGGGCATGATGGGGTGGCCCCTCCCCCACCCCACTCCCCCCAGGCTTTACTGTTTGGGTTTTGATTTCTTATTTTTTTTTTTTTTTTTTAGTTTGGTTTTTCTTTGAATTTTATTTTTTCCATGAATTTCGGGGTATTTGGGGGTGGGGGAGGAGGCGGGTGGAAATCGGGGGCGTTTTTAAGAAGAAAAAAAAAATCTGCAAAATTCCAAAAAAAAATTCAAAAAATCTTTTTAAAAACGGGAAGGAAAAAAAAAATTTTCCACCATTTTCTTCCCCTCCCCCCCCCCCCCCAGCGCTGGAGTTTTGGGGTTATGGGGGTTGGTTTTTTTTGGGGGGTGGGGTTAATTTATTTGCGCCTCCCCTCCCCCCCCTTCCCCCTTGACCCGGGTGGGGGAGGGGTGGGTGCTCTGTTTTTTTTCTTTGTGTATAATTTTCTAAAATTTTTTTGGAGGGGGGGTAGGGTGGGAATTTGTTTGATTTTGAGGGTTTATTTTTTTTTTCTGTGCCCCTCCCCCACCTTCCTGTCTTTCTCTCGCCCCTCCCCCAGCAACCCCCTTCCCCCCCCTCCCCCACCCTGCGCCTGTTTGGAACCTTCGGATTCTTTCACGTGTAAATAAAGAAAATATTATTGGAGCCCCTCCCCCACTCGTGGGAAATTCACCTCCCCCCATCCCCCCATGGGACCCCCATTCCCTTCCCCCCGCCCCCTCATTTCTTCCTTACCCCCTTCCCCCCCCCCCATGGGATGAGTCCCCTCGTGCCCCATAGAGGAGCCTTCCTGCCCTATAGAGCTCCAGTTCTGCTCTATCCCTATGCTGATGCCACTGCCCCACACTGTGTCATTCCCCTCCCCTGCCCCACAGCCCCCCCCCAACAACCGGGGCTGGAGCAGTGTGGGCCGTTTAATTAGAGCTGAAGCTTCTGTGTGTTACAGTTGTGGGGCTGGAGGGGGGGAAACCGGTATTGGGGACACCAGGGGTCGCTGTGGGGTAACACTTGTGGGGCAGAGCCTGCTTGGAGCCGCGTGCAGTGGGGCAGGAGCTTGCTCAGGAGCTGGCCTGTGGGGAGAGAAAAGGGGGGGCTGAGTGTGGGGCTGGGGTGACCCCAATGTTGGGGTGCTGGGGAGATGACGACACACATAGACATTACCTGCAGTGGGGGGAAGTAAGTGCCCTGCAAGACAGAGATGGGGTCAGTGTGACACAAGGGCACCCCAAAGCACCCCCAAACCTTGAGGACCCCCCCCATTCACCTTCTTGCGCATGTAGAAGATGAGCCCCACCACGATGAAGATGAGCCCCAACATGAAGCCCCCGATGCCCGTCACCATCTTGCTATTGCTGCCATCCGTCAACTCTGGAGAACCAAAATTGGGGGGGGTTGTGGTGTAAATTTAGGGTTCCCCCCCCCACCACCTTCATTTTGGGGGGCACCGGCCGGGTTCGGGGTGTCCGTACCCCAATGGACGACGCTGGGCTGCTGGAGGCTGACGTGTTCCACCTGGCAGGCGTAGGTGTCACCGCGCTGCGGGGTGGTTTCCAGCATCACCAGCACCTGGTAGGTCCAGTCGCCGTTCTGGATGACGTCGGTGGACACCACGCGCTGCAGCTCCTCGCGCCCGTTCTGGAACCACCGCACCTCGATGGGCGCGGGGTAGAAGTCGCTCACGGCGCACGCCAAGCGGTTGGTCTGCGGCGCCGAGCTCGACTGCACCGGGAAGATCTCGACCTTGGGAGGCACTGCAGGGGTGGGCGACCCGAGGCGTTGGGCAACGCAGCAATGGGGAACCCAATGGTGGTCACCCAGTGTTGTACAACCCAATGTGTTCATCAACCCAGTAATGGGCAATGCAATGCATTGGGTAACCCAATGGTGGTCACCCCAGTGTTGTACAACCCAATGTGTTCATCAACCCAGTAATGGGCAACCCAATGCATTGGGTAACCCAATGGTGGTCACCCAGTGTTGTACAACCCAATGTGTTCATCAACCCAATAATGGGCAACCCAATGCATTGGCCAACCCAATGGTGGTCAACCCAATGTGTTTATCAATGCAACACTGGGCAACCCAACAATGGGCAACCCAATGCATTGGCTAACCCAATAGTGGTCAACCCAATGTTGGACAACCCAATGTGTTCATCAAACCAGCAATGGGCAACCCAATGTTGTACAACCCAATGTATTGGCCAACCCTACTGGTGATCTACCCAATGTTGTGCAAAGGTGGCCAAGCCACCAACCGCTGCCATGGTCACAGCCCCGGCCACAGCCCAGCCCCAGCGGTGGAAGGGGTTGGTTTGGGTCTGCTCCTGAGGGAAGCGTTCTGCCATGGACTCACCTCTCCGATCTACGGTGAGAGGGCTCCACACCCCATAGTTGTGCCGGCAGAACGTGTCCACTGCAGCTCGTGTCTGCTCCAGTATTTCCACCTGGCTGTTGAAGTGCTTGGCTTGGAACTCGCCCTCGGGGGTATTGCCCACATAGTGCCCCACATCGCTGTCGAAGTAGAGGTCCTGCTCCCGGTTGTAGATGTACTTCTCCAGAAACCGGACGCGCTCGGTGCCATTGAGGTAGTGACACTCGGCCTTAAACACCAACTGGAAGATCCCTGTTGGTGCCGGGTGTTGGCTCAGGGGGAGCGGCTCCCCCCTTCGCTACGTGCTGGGGGGGCCACAGGGAGGGACAGGAGAAGGGGGCCCCCAGAGAGCCCCCAGAGACCCAACAAAGACCCCGAAGACCCAACAGAGACTCCATAAAGACCCCCCCAGACTCGAAAGACCCAACAGACCCCAAAGATCTCCAAAGACCCAACAAAGACCCCGAAGTCCAAACAAAGACCCCATAAAGACGCCCCCAAACTCGAAAGACCCAACAGAGACCCCCCCAACCCCAAAGATCACCAAAGACCCAACAAAGACTCAACAAAGAGCCCCCAAACCACAAAGACCCAACAAAGACCCCCCAAAAGACTCCCCAAACCCAACAAAGACCCCCCTGAAACACCCCCAAAACACCAACAAAGACCCAACGAAGACCCCCCAAACCCCAAAGACCCAACAAAGACCCCCCTGAAACCCCCCCAAACCCAACAAAACCCCCCCAAAGGACTCTCAAAACCCAACAAAGACCCCTCCAACCCCCCCCCCAACCCCAAGGACACCCCAAAGACCCCTTCCCCCCCATCGCCGTGGCTCTGCTCTCACCCGACAGCTCCTCGCCATGAGCCGGGGGGGCTCCCAGTGCCACCAGTGCCACCAGTGCCACCAGCACGGCCCCAGCCGCTCCCAGCGGACCCCCAGTGCCCATCGCGCTCTCAGCAGACTCCCCTTCCCAGTAAACGCGATCGCACTCACTGGGAGGGGGGGTTCCCAGTGTTGGGTGCTGGGAGCCCCAGGAACAACCAATGAGCATCGAGGCTGGGGCAGCGTCACCCGTTGCTGGGTAGAACAGGAGCCAACGGGGCTCCCGTCCACACTTGGTCCCCGTTGACGCCGTCACCCCCCGGCTGCCCCCATCACCCCCACGGCCACCAATGGGGCTCCCCCATCTCCGTGCCCCCCCCCAGCGTTGTCACTGACCCCAAACCCCCCTCCATGGGGTTCAGGTGGGGTCAGGTCGGGGTTTAGACCCCATTGCGGTGCCCGTCGGGCTGTCTGCTCCATAGGGTACCCCGCGGCGCTGCTCTGCCTGGAGACAGTTGCGTCATCAGCGGGGAGGCTTCTGATTGGTCGAAGGGGCTTCAAGGGGTGCTCTGGCATCCCCGCGTCGCCCCTTGGAGCAGCAGGAGACGGGAGCGATGGCCGGAGGGTTGGGAATCGCAGCCCTGCTCCTGCTGCCGTTGGCTCTATGGGGCACGACGGCTGTGAAAGGTGGGTGAAGGGTGGTGGGGTATGGGGCGGGGGAGGCCCAATTGTGTGGGGCTGGGAGGGTCACGCTGCCCCATAGCGTGTGTGGGGTCCTGGAGCCCAACACTCAGGCTTAGGGGAGGAAGAAGAGGAAGGGGGTGGCTTGGGGATGCTCCTTGAGGATACTCCATGAGGATACTCCATGGGGATGCTCCATGAGGATGCTCCATGGGGATGGTCCTTGAGAATACTCCATGAGGATGCTCCTTGAGGATGGTCCTTGAGGATGATCCTTGAGGATGCTCCATGGGGATGTTCCTTGAGGATGCTCCATGAGGATGCTCCCTCCATGAGGATGGTCCTTGAGGATGCTCCATGGGGATGCTCCTTGAGGATGCTCCTTGAGGATGCTCGTTGAGGATGGTCCTTGAGGATGCTCCTTGAGGATGCTCCTTGAGGATGCTCCATGGGGATGCTCCTTGAGGATGCTCCTTGAGGATGCTCCATGAGGATGCTCCTTGAGGATGCTCCTTGAGGATGCCCCGTGCCCCCTTCCCATCCGCAGTGGGGAACACGATCACGCAGTCGGAGTTCTACCAGCGGGACGAGAGCAAGACGCAGCAGGACAGCGAGTTCATGTTCGACTTCGACGGGGACGAGCTCTTCCACGTAGATCACGACCGCAAGGAGACCGTGTGGTTCCTGGAGGAGTTCGGGAAGTTCACCAGCTTCAAGGCTGAGGGAGCCCTGCAGAACATGGCCATCGGCAAGCAGAACCTGGAGATCTCCATTGCCCACAGCAACAAGTCCCGGGTGTCCATCGGTAAGCGCCATCCCCCTCCCTTTGGGTACCACAATGCGACGCCTCCACGGTAACCGGCTCCGACCGCATCGCCCCCAGTGCCGCCGGAGGTGTCGGTGTTCCCCAAGCACCGCGTGGAGCTGGAGGAGCCCAACGTGCTGGTGTGCGCCGTGGAGAGGCTGTGGCCGCCGGTGCTGACGGTGGCGTGGGAGCGCAACGGGCAGGCCGTGAGCGATGGCGTCTACCAGAGCGTGTTCTACCCGCGGGAGGACAACACCTACAGGCTCTACTCCTACCTGACCTTCGTGCCCCAGCGCGGGGACCTCTACGTGTGCCGCGTGCGGCACAAGGAGATCCCCGAGGAGTTCCAGAAGGAGTGGGGTGAGGAAGAGGGAGGGTGGGAAAGGGGGAAGGGGAAGGGGGTATGGGGGTGAGGAAGAGGAAGGTGGGATAGGGATGAAGAAGAGGATGGGAAGGGGAAGAGGAAGAAGAAGGGGAAGAGGAGGAAGGGGGTTTAGGGATGAGGAAGAGGAAGGTGGGATAGGGATGAAGAAGGGGAGGATGGGAAGGGGAAGGGGAAGAGGAAGAGGAAGGAGAAGAGGAGGAGGAAGGTGGAATGGGGGTGAGGAAGAGGAAGGGGAAGAGGAGGAAGGTGGGATAGGGATGAGGAAGAGGAAGGTGGGATAGGGATGTGAGGAAGGGGAAGGTGAAGAAGAGGAGGGTGGGATGGGGGTGAGGAAGAGGAGGATGGGATGGGAGATGAGGAAGAGGAAGGTGAAGAGGAGGAAAGTGGGATAGGGATGAGGAAGAGAAAGGTGAGGTGGGGATGAGGAAGAGGAAGGGGAAGAAGAGGTAGGTGATGAAGAGGAGGGTGGGATAGAGATGAAGAAGAGGAATGTGGGATAGGGAGGTGAGGAAGAGGAAGGTGAGGAAGAGGAAGTGGGATGAGGATGAGGAAGAGGGTGGTTGGATGGGGGGGGTCCTCACCTCTTTTCTCTCCCCCCCACCTTCGCAGAACCCAAAGTGCCCCCCGCTGCCTCTGAGACCACCCAGACCCTGGTGTGCGCCCTGGGCTTGGCCGTGGGCATCGTGGGCATCGTGGTGGGCACCATCCTCATCATCAAGGCCATGAAGATGAACAACGCCCACAACCACAGGGGGGTCTTGTGAGCCCCCGGCACCCCAAACCTGGCCCCTCCACACCCCTTTCCCCTTGCAGACCCCCAAGTAGAGGACAGGGGTGCCCTGCCCCACAGCTCCCCATGGCAACCGCTGCCCTTCACCCTCCTCTTTGCTCCCCTCTCCTGCGCCGCCTGGTAACTGCAATAAAGTGGGTTGGGGTTGATCCCACCACGAGGCCACTCTCAGGGGTGATCTATGGGGCAGCTCTTGGGTGAAGCTTGGGGGTCTAGCAGCTTCTTCTGTTCTAAGGAACCCCAGGATGGGATGTGGGGCTCCTGGGTGGCTTCCTCGCACCCATAGAACGACCAGGAAGTTCTTCACCATGAGGCTAATGGGGCACTGGAATGGGTTGCAAGGAGAGGGTTTGGATGCTCGGTTGGAGCAACCTGGTCCAGTGGCAGGGGTTGGAACTGGAGGAGCTTTAAGGCCCCTTCACCCCAACCCATTGCGGGATTCGACGTCCTGCGGTCGGGCTTTAGGACCCAGCGGCGCTGGCCGAAGCCGCCGGTGAAGCGGCGTCGGACCTGATTGAAGCCCGCTCGGCACCGGAGGCGGGTGCGTGCAGGGAAGGTCGGACCTGATTGAGAACCCCGCGTTGATTCGACCGCGTCCGGACCCGCCCTCTATAAAGCGGGAGGAGGAAGCCGCCGCGTTAGTGCAGGGTTTAGTGCTGCGGATGAGGTTTTAGTTTCGGTTTCAGTGAGTGGGAGGTCGCTCTGCCTCTATGTTGTTAAATCGCTGTAATTAGCGCCTGTCATTAGTTTCCTATCGTTAACCCCCGCCGTGCCCTTAGTAAACACCTTTGGGAAGATTTCCTTTTCCCTCAAACACGCCGTAAACCCCTCTTTCCACAGCAAAAAACGCCCCGTTATTTCTTTCCAACCCAGTGTGCTGCCCACAGACGGGTTTGGATTACTTTGTGTGCACCCATGGGTCAAACCCCTTCGGGACCTGTTTCGATTCCAGCCATTCGAATGGGAGCATCACAGGGAAGCTGTTCTGGGTGTCATTATGGAAAGGGGAAATGGGGGTGAGTGGTGCCTAGGGGGGTTTCCAGAAGGTTCCTCCCTCCCCCGTGGAGGCTGTGTCACTTGTTACCAGGCAGAAAGTGGTGATGAGACCTGGGGAGAAGGACTTGGTGTCCGGTGAGGGGAAGCTCAATGCGATGGAGCCTGGGAGCCACCCTTGTCCTGGGCTGCATGCCAAGAGCGTGAGCAGCAGCTCCGGGGGTTTCCAAGGCTGCATCCTGCGTCCAGCTCTGGGGTGACAGCACAGGAGGGGCATGGAGCTGCAGGAGCCAGGCCAGTGCTTAAAGGGGCTGCAAGGAAACCTGGAGAGGGGCTTGGGACAAGGGCCTGTAGGGACAGGGCAAGGGGAATGGCTTGAACCTGCCCGAGGGGAGACTGAGCTGAGCTCTTAGGCAGCAGCTCTTCCCTGTGAGGGTGCTGAGGCGCTGGCACAGGGTGCCCAGAGAAGCTGTGGCTGCCCCATCCCTGGCAGTGCTCAAGGCCAGGTTGGACACAGGGGCTTTGAGCAAGCTGCTCCAGTGGAAGGGGTCCCTGCTCGTGGCAGGGGCTGGAGCTGGAGGAGCTTTAAGGTCCCTTACACCCCAACCCTTTGCGGGCTTCGACGTCCTGCGGTCGGGCTATAGGACCCAGCAGCCATGAGCGAAAGAGAAGCGAGGCTGGGTCGGACCTGATTGAAGCCTGCGGCACCACCCGAGGCCGGTGCTTCCAGGGAAGGTCGGACCTGATTGAGAACCCCGCGTTGATTCGACCGCGTCAGGTTCCGCCATACATGAGGCTCAGTGGAGGCGTTGATGCTGCTGGTGCTTTCGGGGTTGCCGTGCACGGGACATAGCTCCCGTAATTAGCGCTTTTAATTAATTCTTTATAATCATTAACCCCCCCCCATCCTATTAAATGCATTTGGGATGACCTCTTTTCTTTCAAGCCCGCCACAAAACCCTGCTTTCCACCACTAGAAACACCGGTTATTTCTTTTTCCAACTTAGAGTACTGCCCGCAGAGGGTTTGGGGTTACTTTGCGTGCAGCCATAAGTCAAACCCTTTTACAACCGGTTTTGACTCCAGCCATCGCAATAGGAAGCTGCTCTTTGCCTTCTGGGATACCCCTAGGTGTCCTTGGGAAAGGGTGTTATAAAAATTCCGCCTTGGCCATGATCTGATTTAATTAATTTTTTATTACAATTGATTAATATCGAGAGGCAATAAGCAAGCAGCGCTGGGTGCGCCGGGGAGTCTCCGCTCCACCCAAGAGGCACACCGAGAGTTCTGGGGTACAGTCTCTTATACTCCTCGGTCTTGGGTTTCAACCAATCCTGTCGTCTCCTTCACCCCAATATCGACGTGGTTCTTTTTCATTGTTCTCCTCCTGTTGCTGGGATCTTATCTTTGGGTGATGAAACTTCTTAAAAAGTCATTGAATTCCTTGGCAATACATTAACAGGGGATGTCTGTCACAAGCTTAACCACCATCTTAGCCC